TACTAATGCTTTGCCCGTGTCTCGTTTAGAACACTCAAAGAAGCTATACATTGTGTTGTTTATTCACTTGGTCATACTTGTAGTCACAGGATTGGATTTCTTACATCTATGAGATAATGATCTGATCAATTGGAATTATTTGCAGTTCTTCAGTTCTTTAAGCTCTGCCGCCAATGAAGCAGCCAATGTATTCTCCTTTTTGTGGTATAGTATCCTCCAGGGACGCAGGAAAGAATTTGTGAACAGCAGAGAGTCGACACAAGGAGATGAAGGGAACTCCACATGATTTTTTTGGTTCTGTTAGTTTTTTTTAAACAAGCCAGTCATTGGCGGCACTGTGGCTAAGGAACAGGGTCTTTCTGAGTGGAGTTTGCATGTTCTTCCTGTGCCTGCGTAGGTTTCCTCTGGGTGCTCCAGTTTCCCCTACCGCTAAAAAACAATCAGAATAGGTCAAATCCTCCAGCTTCGGTAGTCCTGACCAAGATGAGCATCAAGATCGAGAGCGCTCCTGACCGCTGTTACAAAGGCGACCACTGCTCCTGACGTAAGCCTTAGCGGCATCAGGATGGGTCAAATGCAGAGAAAGAATTGCCCTACGGGGATTAATAAAGTGCACCTTTAGCTTCATTGTGAGCATCAAGGACTTTAGGGTCACCTGTCTTTGTACACAGGTTGCAATAAAACAACAACAACTGTTTTTTTTCTTACTGCGAAAAAAGCGAATCTTGGGAAGGATATTGCAAATTAGCCTTAATTGTCTTAATGGGATTTTTTGCAAGGTGATTAAACGGGGATATTTATAACATCATTATAATATGACGTTATGATTTAAGGGGTAATGAGGTGAAACTTGCACTATAGCCTTTTAAGAGGCCAGGATTATTATGAAACATTTTTTTGTATCAAGACACTGTCAGTCAACTAAATGTATCATTCTAACCAATACTAATTGTGTTTTGACAGAAGTTAACAGTGACCTCCCAAACAAACAGTCAGAAGGAAACAGTGGCGTGGACTGAAAAGGTCAGCTGTGATCTGTGACATCACTGGAGCGCGGCTATCTGCCTCCACTGCCAATCCAATATCCTCTTCTGCAGCCTTGTAAACAAATCATCTCAGTCCAGACTTCAGTACAATGGGGACAATTAGTTTCCTCTTTTTACAAGGAATATGTCACGCAGCCGTTTACTCTCTGAGCGTTCTAAAAGTGCAGGCTCTCTCAGATTCAATAGTTGAGTTTGAAGCGAAAAGCAATTTTTTTATGGCATTAATCTACAAAAAACAATTTACTTTTGCATTCAGGAAAATACTTTTGACATCATTCAAGAATTCTTAAAATGTGGTGTTTATTTGTTATAATCTGCATGTTTCTTATAATAACGGTGGAGCACCTAACGTTATGCCATGGATAAAATGTTATCCCACTGTCGTAGCAGAGAGAGTCAGACAGCTGAATGATGATGGTCCTTTCTTCTTCACCTTTCTGTCTGAAAAAGCAGATAATACTAACTGTCATAGGGTTCATGAGAAACTGGTAGACTATGGTTAAAAAGCTGTGTATGTGTGCCCTTTAAATTGGTTTAAAACTTATTCAAGACTAAACTAAAGCTAAAAGCGCTGATGATTCACCTTGAGAATGAGTCAATCTCTGCTGCAGTCTATGACGTTAAAGCTGCGCTTCTGGAAGGGGCTCTGCAATCAATGTGTCGAGATATAAACACAGACACAGAGACCAAAAAACTGCAAGATTCACACGCATTTTGCTGAATATGGTGACTGTAACCATCCATTGTCATTCATTGCTGTGCCTGCTTACTTCAAACAAAGAAAGAGCAAGTGTCAAAAAAGGAAACAAAAATTAACGTTGTCTATTTGTTTCATTTTATAGACAAGAGTTTCCAAACTGCTGTAGAAATCAATTATTGTAAAAATACCTGATCGGACCTCACCAGTTTGAAACAATAAAACCAGGTAAATCAAATACAAGAAGGGAGCCATACAATCAATAGAAATAATTACAAATACAAAGGACCACACAACTCACATACTGTAGCTTAAAAGCCAGAGAAGTAACATTTCATAAGGTGCGTCTTAAGATTGAGAATACTGGTATTTGGTGTTTGCAGTGGTCTCCCATCCAAATCGACCAGGCTCAACGCTGAAGCTCTTATTTGTATTATTCTACGTGAGTTTGACATCCCTGATTGAGAGGTTGATTTTTTTCCTATGAAAAAAAGTAATGAGATATCAATGTCAATCCTTGATATTTCACCACTCTGTCCATATTGTTGCATGTTCTCTCCTCTCCTTTAACACCATCGCAGAACCCTCACCCTCCAGCCTCAATAAACTCATAGCAACAAAGTGGTGTCTGTGTGTGTGTATGTGTCTGTGTGCGTGTGTGCCTGTGTGTGTGTACGTGTGTGTGTCTTCATGTCCCTCTGTCAACAGCACAGGTGCGTTTGAAAGCATGTGCAGAAGTGTGTATGTGGAAGAAGAACCACTCTCTTCCACATTCTATCTCTGTTCCCTATTCAGCCAATAGGGGGTGCTCTCTGCATGAACACATACGCTTTGCTGGAATGTTTCACAGTATGGCATTAAACAAATCCAGTCTCTCTGAAGATACTAAATGCTACACCAGAATTCACAATTGTCCAGACTTAGACTATTATTGAACGTGAGAATGAGTTTAATACTTTTACTATGTTGCAATGACCACAGAAAGCAATGACCTGATATGACTTCCTAAGAACCTTACAGACAATAGGCCTTCTATTTTTATATTCTGTGAGAACCTATTTGTATTTGATACAAAATCATTCACACTCAATGATGTTGTAAAACTGGATTCAATTCTGTGTCTTTCTTTCACTTCACATGTCTCAAAACAATGACCTATGGGAGACACAGGGCATTGCAAAAGAGTTCATACGGCTTGAAAGTTTGCTTACAATCACACATATACATATACAACAAAGTAACGAACAACTGTGAATTGAAAGCAAAATGTGAAAAGTGAAGGTCGCATAACTAATCATACAAAGAGTGAATGCTTTGTGGAACTTCCTTTTCTTTTTGATGCATGACAAGCTTTTCCCATTAATCTTTACAAAACAAACAAAATCACCACTGTCAGATTTGATGGAGAGCAGTTTTCACAGATTTCACATTCTGGACTTTGACTGGGTCATTCTAATACACTCTGACACTCATCCCTATCCCTGCTTCAGAAAAGTAGCCCCATAACATGATGCTGCCACCCCCATGTTTGACACTATGGTACAGTGAGGATGATTAGCAGTGTATGCTTTTAGACATACAAAGTGAGAAATTCTTGGTCTCGTCTGACTTCCTATTTACCACATGTCAATAAAGGCCAGATGTGTGTGAATGGCTAAAATGTATTTATTAATTTGCAGATTGTCCCAGGTGCCATGTGGATGCCTGCAGCTCCTCCAGAGTAACCATTGGCCTCATGTCTGCATCTATGATAAGTGTTGTCCTCGATGGAGATGTGAACTTGGGCAGACAGCCAAGCCATGGTAGATTTGCAGTCGTACCATGCTTTCCATTCTTAGAAGATTAATTAAACGGTAATTGCTGTATTTATGCTTAAGTGGGCTCTATTTAATCATTAGGGAAAGAGATTCAGTCATGAGGAATCGTTCAAAGGCTTTAAATGCTGTAGGCCCATGTTCACTTCTGCATTTTTGATTTCCTTTTACTGTTTTAAATAACCAAAATCACTAATGCACTTGTCTTCACTTTCCAGTTGTTACTTTGTTTGGTCTTTCAGTATAATTATTCTAATTTAAATTGGAATTTTTGTGGTCAAAACATGACAAAATGTGTTAAAAACGTTTGCGAGGCACAATGTGGCCTCAGACCATTCTACTGACATTACATTCTCACACATTACTGGATATTACAGCACTCAGATTGGGTATTTATTGCCATGTAAAAGACTGGATTATTTTGTGGTAAGTATTTTATTGCTATTGGAGCTGGACATGGACCTCTTATTGGTTTTTCATATTACATTTTTAGAGATAATGTGCAATTTTAGGTGAAGCAGAATGAAAGAATGAAATATGATGAGACATATGTATTGGATATTTATAGCCTCTAGGGTCAAGAGATGAAGAAAAAGTTACTTATGATGGACTTTGACCTATGCCTATTGTAACAGGAGATACTTCAGTTCTTACTGCAGAACTGCATTGAGATGAAGACAATCAAATAAAAGGTGCTATTAATCTATTAAGCGTTTTTGCGCATTTGCTGTTAAAGCTTTGACCTCTAGGTCTGGAGTAGTGGTATTATGATATTATTATGATATCGCTGTATTGGGGTTGTGTAATGTATCCATTATTTCTGTCTTTGACAACTTTTTAATACATTTTCAACTAACTTATCTGTGGAAAAATCTACAATTTTTAATTTTGTTCTTCTCTCATCTGTGCAATGACAATAAAATTGTTCAGAAAATATCAACTTAAAAAAAATAAAAGAAATATATATATATATATATATATATATATATATATACTGTATATGTACATGTAACTAAGAGTTTGAACCTGTACTGTACAATGTAAAACTGTAAACAAACAGTAGATAGATACTGAATGAATAGAGCTATTTTCTATTAAATACTGTATATCCTAAAGAGCCTATAGAATAAGTTATCAGCAGAGAGCACAAACAAAGACTATGTCTATGAGTTAATGTTTACATTGTATCGCACTTGGTGATTCACATGTTGTAAAGCACATGATTGCTACTTTACATATAACTGAAAAGAGTTTAGAGCAATTGAACAAAGACATACCAGCTATAGTGAGTGCAGGTCGTCTCAATCCCAGCACTGAGGAATCTTAACTATTCCCTTTCACCGGGGTTCACCTGCGTCTGTCTATACTGTCTGATTATAAGGTGCCTTTCTCATAAACCTCTCATATCATATCCCAAAGCAAAAACACATGCAGAGGACTCACCGGAGGGTCCCCCTGCTGGACCTGGGCAGTGCACCCCTCCCTCAGACCAGCCCCGAGGGAAGCATAGTCCCCCGGCCGAGTGCTGGGGTCCTGGAGAAGGCTGGAAGTGGGACAACAATCCTAAACAATCTGGAGATGTAGCCGTGGCAGCGGTGGTGGTGTTTTGAGCCACAGCTGAGCAGGAGGAGGTTCCACTCTCTTACAGGACTGGAGTAATAATGCGTGGCAGCTGGTTTTTCTGGTCCTTCTGCTCCGGCTGAGGCGTGGTGCTGCGGACATCACACAGTGGGAGGCTCCGACGTCACAGGATCAAAGGAGAGAACCAAATCGAGATGGTATCAATCATATACAAGGGGCTATCGAGAGCTGCAGTTCTAGACTAGACAGTTTTACATTTATGTGCCATGAATGTGCCATGCTATATTAAGGTAGTGCTTGAATGTCACTTTATCTACCAATTATCTTGCCCTATATGTAAATAGTGTCACACTATACACTGTACATATATATAGATAGAGATATATTGATATTATAGCATTTACAACTAGCTAAGACACATAGCATATACTTTGTGTGCTCCCTGTGCTCTTTCTACTGTCATTTATATTCAATTCAATGTATTCTTGATTAGATATCTCGGAGGACTTTTCACAACCGTTGGATTCGCCCGTACAGATCAGAGAATCAAACAGTTCAAACAATAAAACATTAGTCAATAAGGAGCAGATGCCTAATGTCCATAAGTGTTGATAAATGTCCAAAAATGTTGAACGTTAAGTGTCCTGGATCATCACCTTTCTATTTATTTTAGACCCTTCTGCATCCTCAAGAAAAAGTTCTAAACCTAGTGGGAAAACTGAGAAACCTTGGGATTGAATGTGCGCTGCAACATTGACATTTTCCCACTGTGGGACGAATAAATAATCTGACATCTGATTATAAACACACAGTATACTACTACTATAAGTAATGGTAAAAAAAAATACTTGACAGGAAAAACAGTAGTTAAATGGTGATGTTTTTTTCACAGTATTTTCTCATAATTGACTTAATTGCATAATTTTATTTATGGATGTATAGTATATATATAGGACATGCCCTATGAATTCTACTTCAGCTGCAGCCGTGTGACTTAAAGCTTTACACGTGGGTTTAACCATTAACAGTGGGTTGTCAGAGTGTCCAAAGGTGCAGGGTGTGTGTTCAAAGCACACAACGTATTAGCCGCTCTGTCCATTAATGACTGATGTGATGGCTACAAACTACTGGATTACATTTCCAGGTAAATAAACACTCCATCTATAGGGCATAATCTTTAGTCATAATATTTACACACAAGCTGTAATGTCAGGCAGGGTAAAGAGTTTGACACCAGGGCCATGATCAAACAAAATCTATTCATTATTTATTCATTTCATCTTTAATTTTCTTAATCTGTATAAAACAGACAACACAAATGGAGACAAACAACACAAAAACATACAATATTTACAAAATTCTGTTTGGACAGTTATATGGAATAAAATTTTAAGTAGCAAATACAAGTATGAAGGGTAATGGAAAATGCTTTCTTCCTGTAACTTTTTATGTTACCACCAGAGGGAGGGAGGTAGGAGCTAAAAATTTTTGGGGTTTTTCCAAATTTGAAAGTTACAATCTTCAAAAGAGACATGTGATTGTAAAAATTGTAATTTCACAATAGAAATGACCAAAAGGAGTTTCAGGGCAATACACCTGTTTAAAAGTGCGATGTCATATAGTGATGTCATAATGGTCCAGTGACAACATACTATTATGTATTAGGAGAGGACTGAACAAGTGCTGCTGTTACTCTAGTGTTTGCCGAATGCAGAAGCTAACTGGAGCCAATTTTCTCATTAGGGACTCCATACATGAGTCTAGGAAAGGCGCAGTGTAAATAAATCACCTTCAGCTCGTTCACGATGTCTGTGGTTCAGCACTGCAAAAACAAACAGTAAGGTTTTAACATCAGGAACTAAATGAAGGATGTTTGAGGAGGTTTTTATTCACTACCAATAAAAAACACGCCCTTTTCATTGTTTGAAACCAATCTGCCACACTGGCCGGTGCACACCAACTTGTGTGTGCCATTATCACACTTCCCAGCAGCCGAGGCGTGCTCGTGTTACCTTCAGGGCCAGGGAGCTGTGGTGTTATAAAGGCTGAGAGTGAGGTCTTTGTGAGCCAGAGAAACGCATCCTTATTTGGGCAGACTCTTATTGTTGTATTCTCTCTGTTACGCTCCCTGTTGGATGGATTTGTGGGTAATGGAAGCAAACACCTGATAATGTTTCCAGGGCATGAAAACAAGTTAAAGGAATCATGGCTTTTGTTAGTGACACAATTCTGTATATGGATACATTTATCAAACTTTATTCATACAAAAAATACAACACAAATGTATTTACAATTGAAAAAAAACTTTACTATTGACTCACTGCTTCAGTCACTCCACTGACACACACATACACACATTACCCTCTCTCTCTCACACATGCACACAAACACACACACACACAAACGCATAATCTTTGTTCTTCATCATCATCATCATCAATATCATCGTCTCATTGCACCAAATCAATACATATTTTCCCAGATTTTACATATTAAAGGGGAATTCTGTAGGATTGTATAATCACAACACTCCTGTACATTGTATTAGCAGCACAGGTTTCCATGACAACCACTTTTTTCTCTCCCGGAACTGTGTCTTATGGTAGGTTCAGGTATGGTATTGGAAAGAATTTTTTTTTCCACCTATTGTTAACAACAGCTTCAGGAGAACTGGCCACAACTTTAGGTGGACATTACTTTTAGGCTAAGGTACCACTTTGTATCAATGTGTCCTTTGTCCTCTACATCTGACCCGTCCATCTGATGCCTCAAGGGAAACCTGTCAGGTGACGTGCTCCGGGACCTGTCTCCAGATGTTGTTGTTGGCTCCGGATGTTGGCTGAGTAACGCCAGATGAGTCATATTAGTATTTTAATATTAACAACCTTTTGCATATTCAAGATTTCACTTACATGACCATTCTATAATGAGAGCTGCGCAGTGATAAAACTCACACTTGGAGAAACTAAATACATTTCAAAAGTAATAGATAATATTGCAAGCATAAAGACATAGAAATACATTTTATAATCTGTCTGTCATGTAACTGTGTGTAACTGTTGCTGCCTCTTGACCCTTGAAAAAGAGGTTCATAATGTATTCTCAATGGGACCTCCCTGGTTAAAGAACGGTTAAACAAAAATAAACAAATAAAGGTTTCACTAAAGGTTGTGGTTTATATTCCACCAAGTACAGTATTTACACCACAGCATTCAGCCTCTTCACCGGACGGCCATCGGGTCCATTACTCTTTACTGCGGTTTACCTTCACTGGTTCTTGTGTAGAGAATGAGTTTCAGGAGAGAGCTTGAGGAATGTGGAGGTAAAGAGCCACCAGCGTAATGGAGGGTCACCTGATCAGGGGGTTAAAACACTGAGAGACTTTGTGAAGGAAAGAAATCCCCTCTCACTAAAGCAAAAAGAGCCCTGTGTGTAGTCATCTGTCACTTCCAACCAACTTGGACTATTTGGGGTTTTTTATCCAAAGTTCATCTCACCATAACGTATAATCATTTACTGATAGTTCCTCCCGTAACAAAGGCAGAACTAGAATTACCTTTGTTATCCACCTCATTTTGGCTTGTAAACAAAAGTTACCCAATGCCTACTGAGATGTCTTTGTATATAAAAAAAAAAAACACATTTTACAAATCATATACTTGTGTGATGCATCTTTTTACCAATTAAAATGAACCAATGGGACGCGTTTACCTCCTTCACCCTATTCCTGTTTCTCGCAAGTGCGCGCACCACAGTAATCAATGGAGTTATCAGATTTTCTAAAACTTAAAAGCGCTGAACAAAAAATGCCAATTTCACGTTTGCCACCCACTCTCCCTGTTGTGACAAAGAAAAGAAAATGCTGGATGTTTGGTTTGGTGGAGAGGCGAGGGGAGGGGGGAGTGGTTTCCAGCTGGTGCTACGGCTAAGCTAACAAAATCGCTTGCTGCATCTTTACAACCCTGTTTCTCCAATGTGCTGGTCCTGGAGCAATGACCAGTTACCGTAGCAACACACTCTTTCAACTGATTTTTCTGTATTTAAAGTTATATTAACCGGTCAAAGCAAGTTCTTACCTCAATAAAGTTTATTATTAAATATCATTAAATCATTAAATCAAATGCTTTTTTTAATTAATTAATTTATTTATTTATTTGTTTATTTTGTTACTAACTGGACCTTCATGGACATTGGTTATTTGCCGTCTATGGACCAATGGCTACCCTGTATTTGTTATCGTTTCCTGAGTTCAAACTTTTTGGTTCTCTGATCTGGGTTTGGAAAATCCACAACTTTTTAGAGTCATCCAAGACGACTGCTGTTGTGATTTAGAGATACACAAAAAATAAATTGAATTGAAAGGTTAGTTAGTTAGACTCGTTCATAAGTCTCCAGCAGAGCAGAAACCACTCATTACAGTTGACCTACATGTGCTGCATTTCATAATTACATAAAGATTTAGACACTGACTCACTGTAAAAAAGCAAACAAAGTGAAGTGAAAATTATGGGAGACAAACGTGTCGGTGTTGTCTTTGGAGTCTTTGGAGATTTCATGACACTTTGAAGCAACTGTGGTTAAAGTTAAACTCATCTTTTTAACAATAATCACAAGGCAGTACTTTTCTACAACTTGGTTTGGTTTTCTCAAGTGGCAACTACTAATTGGAACAATGAACTAATTGTTCATGCTGTGTACCATTAACAATAAAATGTGTCCTCCGTCTGAATTAAGATCAAGATTAAGATTAAAGATATGATCCTAGACTTTGTCATTTTCTTCAAGTCTCTAGAACTGAATTCCATGTTTTTTATGGGAGAAGTGGGTAATGTAACTGAAGAAGATGACATGGTCTGGGATTGCGTCTTAAATTCAGACAGAAGACATGTTTTATTGTCGATGGTAGAGACAGCACGAACAACACGAACACAGATACAATAGAATGCAAGTGTATTATACAGAGCGGAGGCATGGAGACGTCCAATCAGCAGCTTCCACGGTGTGCTTGTAGCTTGGCCTTCAGATAGACAAAACAAGGGAAAAGTACTGGCTTCTGCACATTGATAGAATGATGAGTTTAACTTTAACAAAAGTTGCTTAAAAGTGTTATGAAATCTCACATTCCCCCCTCTGGTCACACATTCACGTGTGACCATCAGGATCGATAAACAGCAACATAACATCATAGCTCATTACTTAAACTCTGTACTTCACTCGGTACTTCAAAAAACTCAGAACTCGGAATACTTCAAAAACTCAAAAAACTCATAAAACATGTTCAGATCTTTCATAAAACTTGTCAACAATCTTCAGTAAAATACCAAACTTCATCAGTCGATGGTGGTTACAGATATTGCTTTGAAAACAGTCTCTCCCACTTCTCCGTGTTGGTTTCTTCAGGCTGCATTTGTGTTGAGCCATGAATTCTTCTGTGACGTGTCTTTCAATCACACGTTTCCGCTTTAGTGTCTAGATTCAGAAATCCAATTCAGTCCAAATTATGTCCAAATTCAGAAATCCAGATTGTTCCAAATCATGTCCAAATTGTGTAATCCAATTGTTCCATGCAAAAGAGGACGATGGTGTTGTCCATGTCTCAGCAGCTCACAGCAGGTCTGACTGGAATCAGGGGCTGTGCAGATAGTCCAAGTGTGCTGGTCCAGATGCATTCTCTTGAGGTTTCTCAGTTTTGGCTTAAAAAGTCTTCTGTTCACTCGATGTTACAGACATAACATTTTGATTTTCCACAAGCTTCCACACTGCAGTGGTGTCTCAAAAGCATATTAGAATAGTGCATATTCTTGTGTAAATAGTTTGAGTGAGTCATGACTGACCTTTTTTTCTATGGTTTCTTCCTCTCTGACACAATGCAGCTAACAAAGGGTGAGAAAGATGTGTGTCATTGTGTAGGTGACATTCAGGTGCTGTTTATATCAAAACTTACCCAGGTGTTGCTCTAAAATAAATTGTGGCTGCAATTTGGATATGTAGATGAATTCACTTTTAAAGCTGCTGTACCTAACTTTTGTTGTTTCATAGACATTACAAAGTCCCAAGCAAAAGTGTCTTGTTAAAGTAATTTTCTGTGAACAAAACATGCCGCAATATGCTGTCTTTATCATCCTAGCAAACATGCGATCTTTTATCTGACTTAACCTGAACCTACGTACTGAGATCTGATTGACTGAGGCCCCGTTTAGATGCTGCGGAGACGCTGCAAAACTTCAGCTTTGCGCGGTCACGTTAGGAAAAAGGAAGAAGTAGAAATCTCCGTGTGGCGCTCGAAGCACACCGCCATCCGCCGCCATTGTTGTTTACCTTTATGCTCGGCTTCAGCGCATGTCCAAATGTACGTGTGGGGAAGTGGGGATCAGAGCAGCAGAGAATTTACACCTTTTTCTTCACACAGCCTTGAAACAGCCCCTTGCCGAGCAGCGTATTTGTTCTGTTCCATTCTCAACGCATTTGTTTTCACCCCCCTGCCTGAAACACCGCCTTCATGTAAAACGAAAAGCCAAACCGATACCCAACGCAAACGTTTACCTGTCGCAGCGTCTCCGTCGGAACAGGGCCTGAATAGAATCAGAATTATCTTTGTTGCCATTGTTAAAAAACAGGAAGTAACAAACTACTTCTTACATAAGTGAAAAAGCTAAATAAATAGAATATAGCATGCATGAAAAGAAAAGAAAAAATCTACATAACATTTAATAAAATCACTACACAAACAAGCACTAAGTACACACAATAGACATTTAGGACTAGAGGTAGAGCTGGTGCAATCTATTTTACTAAAAACGTATAGAGAACAAAAACCTGTGCATGTGAAAACTAGTGACAGAACCAAACTGTTTTGAAAAACAAGAAACTGGACGATGATTGATTATACTTTTGTGGTTTCATAGCCTTAATTCTCATTTTGAACACTGACACAATATTTAAGTAAAGTATAATTGTGTTTCGGGGCGACAGAGAGTCGCCCCGAAACACGTTGGAATGAGTTGGAATACAGGATTGCTCATGTAGATATGTTTATTTTTGTCTTTGTCGATACTGCTGCCATAATTCTGGAAATGATCTTGGCGCCTTTCCTCTCACTTCCAGCCACATTCTAGTAACAGAACAATCGAAATAGGTGTGACTTGAGTGTCCAATTACCCAAGCATTTGTCTGTACATGACTTTTGCCTCTTCAGAGCTGCTGTTGTTTTGCCATGTACCAGGTTTGTGTAGTGAGATTTGTGTCGTAATGATTCATAAGAGCATAATCCGCACCAACTAAACTTTAGCAGAAGTTAAAAAAATGATATAAGCCACAGGTTAACAGCCGATGGAGCAAAACAAAGCAGATACGCAACTGTTTTAACCAATTCTGATAAAGGGGGAACTTTGGATATTCTATTACACTTTGAAACAACTGTGGTTAAAGCTGTTTTCAACATTATAGTAAATGCTGGAGCTCTGGTACTTTTCCACTTATTTTGGTTATCTCAAGGCCGAAGCTACTGGCATCGTGCTGAAATATCACCTGCATTCTGTCATCACTTTGTTTGTGCCCGTCTCTACCATGGACAATAAAACACGTCTTCTGTCTGTCCGACGCAATCCCAAACGTTTGTCATTTTTTTCAGTTGGTGAAGGATGCAACCATTGTCGGAAAAGCTTTTTTTTTAAGACAACTGAAAAACAGCAAGAGAATCCATGCCCCTGGATCAGCACTCTTGGACTATCTGGCCCGCTGTAAGCTGCTGAGAAATGGACACCAATGAAAGATAGACAGTATGAAAGTATGCTGAGCTTATGAGTTCATTTGAACTGTCTCTGCTTTAATATCTTGCCTGACTCTCGCCAGATCCTTGTAGTTCCCTGAGCTTCACACAAGGGGTTAGGGTCACCTTGTGGGGAGCTCAGCAAAACTGGTGGACATTGGCGGAACTACAAGGGTCTTGCCAGAGTCAGGCTAATAATATCACTTGCATTCTGTAACATCTTTGTTTGTGTTTTGTCTCTACCATTGACAATAAAATATGTCTTCTGTCTGTCCGACACATTCTTGTCATTTTTGTCACTGAACACAAAATAATTTAATTATGAGGGCTTTCAACTATTTTAACAATTTTCTCAGTGAATACCACCTGCATGTGACAGAAAGTGCCAGTGTGATCCCAGGCAACTATGGCTACTCAAAGTTTATCACCACCGTATGGAGTGGAAGAATTATGCCTTGTGAATAGTATTTGAGTGTGCAAAACAGAGCTATTTCAAATCATTTATAATTATGTTTTATTGTTATTACACTTGATGGATTCAAAATAATAAGTCCACTTCTGAAAACGGCCAAAGTCCCATAAAGATAAGCCCTATATATACTTCCCTGCATTTGACGCTCTGCTGTTCACATAAACACAACAGGAAGCAGCTCTGGAGTTCGACAGCTGATAGAGCTGTGTACATATCCCTCCCTGCACCCAAAGGGGCGCTCTAACAAATATAAATTACATATATTGGCTGCATCACTATATACGCAGCAGAGATGGACAAGCTTGGAAAATGTAGTGACTTACAGTCCAGCGTGTACTGTACATTTAAAATAATAGATTTCATAATAATTGACTCCAATATATAATATTCAATATACTAGAATTTACGGATATTTTTAATAACACTTACTTTTTTTATGCAAATCTGTACTTTTGCAGACGTTTTGAATGGATGGCTCACCGACATTTGACATTCTGAACATGAGACGAACTTTATGCATTGTACATGAATGAATACACAGGATTGGACCAAACATGTTACAAATTATTATGTAAAAACTGTGTGGTTCTGTCTGGTCAGACTCGCAAAAATGCCACTTTTTACTTGAATAAATAAATGTTTGCATTCACGCACCCTTATGCCACCAATCTTACCCCATATGAATCTGGCACTTCATGAAGACTGCCATTCCAACTCAGAAGCAGCTCCGCCTTTTCCCACTCAATACGAATACCTGTAATTGAATGATTGCAGATTGTTTGACGCCACACGGTCCAGGCACAAATAGTGATATCACTATGGTGACAGGGATCAATCAGAGCCGATCCACTGCACACTTTGCTGACCTCCGTTTAACAAGGACAATCCCGCTGTGTTTCCAGAATCTCACTTTCAGTCTATACATGTTTTTAGTGGTAAGGCAAACCGTAGGACCCAGAGGAACCCTATATTTGCAGAAACAGGAAGAACATGCAACCTGCTGTGTCTAACTCTTTTGTTCCATAACACAGGTGGTTTGTCCCAACAGAAATAGTCTTGTAAGCATCATTAGAAAGAGCCTTCAACCAGTCGTGTGTGTGTGTCTGTGTGTGTGCACGCGCATGCGTGTGTGTGTACGTGCACGTGTGTGTGCGTGAATGATCGGTTGTGGTTGCAGGGGTCAATACCGTTGCCTCGCTTCTGCCTGTGTGCCCCAGAGCAGCTGTGTAGTGTAATAAATCTAAAGCTAAATATATGTGTGTGCGTGTGGTTGTTTAACTAATTGATGGTATTATCATTATACATCATTGACAATCTTATTATTTTCATTATATGTCATATAATCAAAATCTTAATTTTGTCATCACAATTATTAAGCGACAGTGGCTCAGTTAGTAGAGCATTGGTGGTTGTGGGAACGAGCCCACCACAAGACCTTCTCCACCAACTCCCACTGATGCCTACTGTTGTGTTGTGTCCTTGAGCAAGACACTTAACCCCACTTTGCCTGAAGCCCCCGCTGAAAGATCAAGGCTATGAGCAGCCATCCTCCTGTGGACTCCTGCAGGAGGACTGGTGAGGGGCTGGTGCTCTGTGAACTGGGTGGTATCTCTGACTGCCAAAGGGGAAGGAAGGATGGAAATATTAATATGTTATTATTTTTCATTCCAATAGTTTCTGGTTGCATCACTTTTATTCATGTATTTATTTTCATTTATTTCAAATCTTTTTGGTATTTTTTACTTTGGAACAGTTTTTATGCTGTTTTATGCTAAATATACTTTATTAAGTAAGTACTTTATATATATATTCTTTTGCAAAGGCACATTTCTCATGACGCTCAATGTATTTTAAAGATAACACAGTGGAACTCGTCGCTCTCGTTGGAAACCTCCAAAAACAACAAGAATAAAGACGGTAGCCGGTGTTATAAGAACAGGTCTTTATGTTTCACCATGTCAAACAAATATAAGTTCTTGTATATGCTACACAAAGAGAAGCAGATACCGCGACAGAGAGCGCCCCCTGGCTTCAGCACAGAACGGAGTCGGACAGGTGTCAGTTATTGCTTGTTTTGCTACAAATACAAGATACAATATTCACAAACAGGTTGACAAACGTTACAGTGGACAATCAGCGGCACGTTCCAGTAATAGAAATGAAAGAGAAGAAGAAGAAACACTGTGACTTTAACTTGAGCATGTCTTGTTCTTGGCTCAATTTTTTTGTTTTTTTGTATGTGTTACTGTTACATTTGCCCAGAGAAGCAGCGATGACCTGTACACAGGGAGGGACAGTTCCCGGTGACAGAGAACACTATTCACAACGTAATGTAGTACATATTCAATTTTGAGACGGTAAAAGCTTTTGTTAAAAATGAGCCTCATTTTGAGTTGTGGCCATTGTACACATCCATCCACCTGAAGACTTACATATCATAAGACAAGACCGCTGTCACTGCATTAAATGAATGAATGAATGACGATAAATAAATAAATAAATACATTATAATGGTATACAATATTCAATAATACATGAATGCTTCCAAATTGTAACGTCAGAGCATTGTATTTTCCCCCTGTAGTCTATAAAAATAATTTCATTTCCTGTTTGGGTTTTGTTTGTCTGTTGTGAAAATAAATACAAAAAAATTGGTGTAAAAAAAATAATGATAAAAAAATACAGGGAAATGGTACATTGTGAGTAAAATCAAAGACACAACATTGCACTGTTCTTGCAATTTTTTGTTTTCAAGGTTAGGCCAATGGCAATGTTATTTAAAGGGCCATGGTTTTAACAAGAAATCAACTCAAAATGCAAGCAAAAACACTATAGGGGTTGCTTTGGTTGATATATCTCACAAGGCGTTCAATATTTCCCTTTTCTCCATATATAAAAATGCTTCCATATATATATACATGAAATAAAAAGCACAAATATTCAATTGAGCTATTAGTCTTGTGAAAATAATGACTGTCAAACATGCAAAGAGGAAAATCGGAGACTGAACCGGACAATCTACCACTGCTCTCACCAACGAAGGCTGTGAATTGTCTTTGCGCTGCTGTCATAGATTTTTTTTTTCTTCTTGTTTTATTTTATTATACAAAACTGAATGTTCCCATAAGACACCACTGTGAGGATATGCACTGTTGTAATCGATCAGATAAAGATTTTTTTTTTAAAAACAAAACAAAATAAAAACATCCCAGCTCAGAAGTTTGAAGCATGCAAAAGAGTCTCCAATACATACTTGTAATTCGGCGTCTAATTTTTAAGTGATAAAACACCTCTCCGAGATAAAACGAGTTAGTAACTATGCGTCGTGGAGTGAATGGGGGTATTTACAAGCCGGCCTGGTTACAAATGAACTCCAGAATGAAGCCAAAAAGTGTCCACAGGTTTACGGAGAGGGTGACGAAGCTGTAAGATGAGCTTGGATGGTGCCTGGCGTGACTGCACTTACACAGAGGGTCCTGCAGGGGGCCGCTGGTTCACGCCGCCCCGCACCGTGTGATGTGAGTGATCCATCGTCACGGCCGCCTCATTCCTCTCCTTTTTAAAAAACACCAGTCATGTTTTGCTCTGGAGTGATCTGAAATGAGGGGCGCGCCACTCAGACAGGACACACGCTGTCGGGAGAAGGACAGGCGCGGGTGTTGGGTGTTGCGTGGAGAGAGAGAAGAGCCTGGGGCCTAGTTGCAGACCTCGGAGGGGCCATCGGGGCGTCTGGTCTGGACGATCTGCTGTTTCGCCCGTGCACCCTCCTCCTCCTCCGTCTCACTCTCGCACACGTGCACCACCACGCTGGGGGTAGACTCCGTGCCCGCATGCAGCTCGTACTTTTCCCCTGAGGGCGCAGAGATAAGGGGAAATGTCACTACAATGTCATGGTGTTATTTCATTAGGGTTATTTTACTATTTTCTCTGTGGTTTTAGTTTAGTTTTACGTCCTGTTGCCCTGTTGATTTTATACCCCAATGGGTTTCACTGTCTCTCTGTGTCTCTGAGTACCTGTGCTACTCTCCCTTTGTTGCTGATCCAAGGCTTAGAAGGTTCTTATAAGAAAACAAAAGTGTAAAGAAGGCCAAAGTCTACTGCCGAAACATGTCAGGTAAATTAACAGTACTATATTCTTTACACTTTTGTCTCTTATAAGACCCTTATAAAGCCTCTGCCACATCATTAGATCAGCTTTTTCAGACTGAAAAGTGAAAAAGAGAGAACCACCCTCACTCAGCCAATCAGGCCGAAGTGACTCACTAAGCTGAAAACTAAAGATGATTGTAAACGAAAGGAGAGCTTTCATACAATTCTGTTTAGCTGAAGGACTGTATCTTCACCCTTTTTAATGTACTGTGATTACTTCTGATTTATATCTTGTTTTGTTTAGCAGTTTGAGTTTCCTTATGTGTGAACAGTGCTATACAAATAAACTTGACATGTTTGTGTAAATTATAGGGTTTTTGTTTTTATCAAAAACTGAACACAAATACTGCTCTTTTTGTGATTCTTGCTGAAAAGGCGAGCTATTCCTAGACTTTCTGGGAGTAGCTTGGTTCTTTCTCTTTGTGTCAGCCTCTGCCGATCCAATGTGCAGATTGTATTATTGGTTGCCATGGCGATGCATTCTCGTCGCTGGCTGGCAGAGAGGAAATTGGCCGGGACAAAAGAGGGCATCTCGCTTGATTCTAACAAAGACTAAACGGGGCGAGCTGTTCCAGGCTCCGAGGACAGGGGGAGCTATAGATCTGTATCTATAACTTTGTGTGAGGGGGTGGCACCTGAAGTTATCTGCAGAAAAATTATATTTCAAAAAAATTGAAATACTTTCTCCAAACTTGCATCGCTAGTTTTGACCATATATGGTATTTTTGTCCTCTGTCACATCTTTAGATCAGCTTTTTCAGACATTAAGTGAAAAAGACCACCCTCACTCAGCCAATCAGCTCTCCGCCCAAAAGTTTCTGATCTTAGTGTGGATGGATTTAAAAACAACTGATGTGATTTAACAGTGTTGTAAAGTTTATTTAGCATAATATGTCTCCTTTATCTTAAACTCAGCTGAACTAAAGCTCACTTTCACTCATAAGCAGGTCTCTAGTGACGATCAGAGTCATAAACATTCTCCCTACAGCAGCAGCTAGAATATTTTTGTACAACTTATCTTTCCGATTCTTCTGCCCTATTTCATCCACACAAACATTCACCTCTGCACCACAATGTGTGACATAAACTGCATTATGTGTGCGCTCCTAATGCACTATGGCCTGGATTCCTGAAGGCTGCAAAGGACCCGCTGGTTATAGGGGAAACTATTTTAAGATCCACTCGCTGCTTTGTGGCCGAGTGTCTCATGTGGGAGATAAGGGGGCTGCAGGTGCTAACGCTGAAACGGCCGCAGATGTCCGTCAGCGCTGACCAGATCAAAATAAACAAACTCGTTCCATTTCTGTGGGTTCAAAACGACTCAGGAACTGTCACCTTCTAAAACCAAAAACAAACAAGGAGAGACCGGGCTGGACATCACAGCTACAAAGAACCACATGGGTGAATATAAGCATAAAGCAATTATGAAAGAAAGCAGCTGATTTTGATTCATTATGGAGTACTAAGAGCTGTTTTATCTCTACAACAACAGCTTGCGATGCTACCCAAGCAAAACCAGGTATTGATGAGACCTACTTTCTCAACACAACCCCAGTGCAGCCTTTGTGCATGAAGAAATGTACCACTACCACTATTTGATTGTACCTTTTAAAGGAGACGTTATATGATTCAAATATATATCTGTAAATACCTGAATGAGGGTGGTCCAAACATGTGCAGAGGCCAAACAAAACATGAGTGTGATAACTAGAGAAATAGCAAACTCATTTTATTACATAGTTGCATTTTTATAGTTTGAAAGATTGATATTAAGATTAAGATATACTATATTTTTTTCACAGTGGAGGGAGAGTTACATATCCCAGCTTTAATAATCGCTAAAAGTAATTTGTTTTTCCCAAAGGAGTGGCTTATTTTAAGGCAGCCAAAAAGCTCTCAAATCAAAAAAAAAAAATTCCGATTAACCTAATGTTCTGTCATCATTTACAGTGTACCGCATTGTGATGTATCCAACAAGAACTAATTCACAACCGTGCTCCCAGGACGGAACTTTTCAGCAGCGCTTAGAAATTAAAACAACATGGGAATTAAAAGAAGGAGCATCACGAGGCAGAGAGGCGTCATTTAAAGAATTACAAGATTCCCCCAGGTGGAAAACAAGACAGATAGAGACGTCAGAGGAGGTTTTTGGGGGAAGGAGGCGGGTTCTGACCTGGTCCCAGCTTGGCCACCGCACACAGCAGGTCGTAGTTGATGCCCGGAGTGGCGTCTTCGCTCTGACTCCAGCCCCCGGGCGGAGAGGCCGGGGGAGAGATGAGGAACTGCTTCACCGGCTGAGGAGGGGCCAGGTACGTCTTGTCAATGTCCTCCTCTCCATTCTGGATCTGGAAAACAGTGTCATGGTTCAGGTTTATTCAATCCATTAGTCTATATATTTTTTTATTTATAGAGCCCTTTATCTATAGAGACCAAAGCGCTTTACATTAAAGTCACATAGAAACAAACATTCAGGCAATAAAACAATAAAACATTTGAAAACTAGGATTTAAAAAGTTGCTCCACGTTAATGAGTGTTAAACGTTAAACATTAGTAGAACTAGAAGATAACTGTTTTATACATTAGTCAAATTTTCTATAGCGCCCTGCGGACACTCACCTGGGCAAAGTAGAGCTTGAGCTTGTTTCCGTTGAACTCTGTCTCGTGCAGTTCGATGCGGGCACGTGCCGCGGCCTCTGGAGTGCTAAAGTTTATTCTCACTCTACGGAAACTTTTGAAGAGCTGGAAAGTGACCTGCTCGTCGTACTGCCGGAACACAGCCTCAAACCGTTCCTGGAGAAACATGACAAAAGACTGTCACTTTACTGTTTCAAACAAACAAACAAGCAAACAGAACAAACATTTTCTGTCTGGCAACCCAGAGGAAGAGACCAGGGGAAGACCCAGAACTCGTTGGAGAAACTATGTCTCTCAGCTGGCTTGGAAACGCCTTTGGATTGTGGATGAGCTGGAGGAAGTGTGTGAGGAGAGGGAAGTCTGTGCGTCTCTGCTCAGACTAAAATGGATGGGCGGCAGCAATGTGTATGTCTTGAGTCAGAATAGAAAGAGAGTTGAATTGATCCATTTCTCCTCTCTAATTCTTTTTTTTTAATGCTGAGGCAAGGCAAATGTATTTATTAAGCACCAGTCATGCAGAAGCAACATAGGGTGCTTAATAGATGCAGAAATAATATAAAAAATAAAACGTTAAAAGTAAAAGTTAAATGTATGCGTTAATCTCCCACGGGAGACATTTGTCTTAGAGAAGGGGGTCAGTCGCATCACATATTCAGCACAAGAGACACACATTACAACATTACACATAGTACATGAATATGTTCCATCACAGGTCGACACGTCTGCACAATCCCTCACACACAAATATGGTCTGTTTTCTGTGCATCCAAATACAACACTCTTGAGATGTGCAAATCTTTGGATAAAAACTTGACATAGATAGAGAGATAGATAGAGACCAGTTATTTGTCCCACAGTGGGGAAAGTTGCACATAACTGTTGCTGCCTCTAGTCCAGGACTCTTCTTATTTTCAATGGGACTTTACTGGTTAAATAAATGTTAAATAAGATAAAATAAAAACAGTTCTACTAACATAATATATTATTGGAGATAATATGTGTCTGGATTTCCCCATCTCCATAAAGTAGTTAGTGGAGCTCCATTTACTCTACAGCTGAGGCGTCTCAGTCTTCATAACTATCTGCTCTCCGTGGGAACAAACAGCACAACACCATTCAGCACTGAACTCAATCAGGCCTCTGTCTGGGGGGCTTTTGTGAGTAATCACTGCTGCTCTCTGTCCTTGCTGCACACAGACACTGGACTGAAGACTTTTCACCAGACTCTATTGTTTATTGTGGCCTCACTACAACAAACGTGTGACGTTTCTTTTCAGATACTTTCACAATTCAATTGAATTTCAAGTATATGTATTTTTTGTATAGAACTAAATCACAACAGAAGTTATCTCTTTACAAAACAGATCGGAGAATCAAACAGCTCAAACACAAGAAATGCAATGATAAAAAACAGTGTTGGGGTTGGGGTTGGACCATAAGGGGTGGATGACTGTTGTCCATAAAGGTTAATATAGTCTATAAATGTCATTGAATGTTGAGTAGTAAGTATGTAGTAGTAAGTAATCTTTATTTATATACCTCATTTTACAGACCAGAGTCACAAAGCGGTTTACAATTGTTATTTTTTGGGCATTTGTCTCTCACTCCACACAGAGACAGGAGGCGCATGGGAGAACATGAAAACTCCACTCAGAAAGGCCCTGGTCTGACCGGGATTCGAACCCAGGACCTTCTTGCTGAGAGGCGAGAGTGCTATCCACTCAGACACCGTGCCACCCACTAGTACCTAGACCTAATGCCACCACCAGCACCTAGGTCACGGGGGATTCTAAGCAGCACACAAGGAATGATCTCCACACAAAGTACCAGGGCCTAGGGTGCCAAACAAATGAATACATTCATTTATTGATGTTTTGTGTCTGTGTAGTGTCTCCAGATTGAAATATGTAGCATGTTAAAAACAACAGTAGCAACAGCAGCAGCAGCAGCAATATAGCACAGTTCTTACACAAGGCAAACATACAAGGCATTACAATCATAAATAATCAAATAAAACATGTTCTTCCTAGTGAAACGCTGGTCTGAAAGTGTTTACCTGACACCTGGACGCCGCGTGTGCTGATGTATGGGATCCGGCATGAGGTCGGTATTCGCACGTACTGAGTGACCACAACAGCCTCCCCTTTACATAACAGTGTCCTCATCCTCCACCATAGAACCACTGACGACAGACTCCAATATGAATGTTTATAAAAGCAACTAACAATTCCAATCCATATGGCTGGTTTTCATCACTTTGCTCTTTATCTCTTGAACAAAAAGACACAAAAGCAATACAGGATGGAGCATACTACTAATAATAATGCGTTGTTTTATATAGAACTGTTGGATAATCAAAGATGGCATTATTTTTTCACTCCATAAACAGTTGTGCAAAACTACTGTCGCCACAGCTGCCCTGGGGCAGATTGACAGAAGCGAGGCAACCAGCCTGTGCCATCGACCACCCCCAATCATTCTCACACACACCAGGCTCACCCCTTATGGACCAATGGCTCCAATGTATTTGTTATCATTGCAATTCTTGTGTTTGAACTGTTTGATTCTCTGATCTGTGTTGGCGAATCGACAACTTAGCAAAGTCCTCAGTGATGCCGACTGTTTAGGGCTGTACTAAAAACACTTTTGATTTGATTGAACCAACGTACCACGGCCCACTCGTTCAAATCAATTACAATTCAATGTATTTTAGTATATTCCTAAATAACAACACTAGTTATCTCGGAGGACTTTACACAACCGTTGAAATCGCCAACAATGATCAGAGAATGAAACAGTTCAAACACAAGACAAAAAACAAACAAATAACACAAACAGCCATTGGTCCATAAGGGGCAGGTGACCAAAGTCCATTAAAGTCGATAAATGTCTATAAATGATGTTGAATGTTGAATGTCCTGGATCATCACCACTGTCCTTTTTGTTAGATCCACACAAGGTTGAAAAACACTGGTCTATACCATAGAGACTGTCTATACGAATCAATTCTGAAACCCACATTATTTGCCCTGGTGCCTCTGTGTGCTATGAGCCCATTTTAAAATGACTATTGACTGTGAGGGAGAAAATCTCTGTCTCTGTGATCCGAGCCAGAGCTGGAAATCTGTAGCTTATGAACACAGTAACAATGTGATTCTCCCACTCTCAGACTAATCCTATATATTGCCAGATTTAAGCTTGTTAATATCAGTCACTGTACTAGGACACAAATAAACTAACATTATAATCCAGGGATTTTTTTCGTTTTTTCCAGAGATTACCTGCTGGATAAAAGTTCTTTTGACTGTCGCAAATGGCACTTTTGGGCACGTGCTGGCCTTTAACACGGCGTAATCCACAGTCAGAATGAGCTAGTGGAATAAGATTTGAGTGAAAAGCAGAAAACTAGGCCATAAACAGTGCTCCGGGTTAGTCAGGGATAGGGAGGGTAAAAATAGTAGCATTGTCGAATTACTAAGCACGTTTATTTGAGCATTTACAATTACAGTAATTACTGCTCCCACCATGAACCAAGCAAGCCAACTGGAGAATTAATTAAAGATGAAAATGAGTTTAGCGTTATGCAGCTCATACAGTATGTTAAGCTTGTGGTCTACTGTACACAGCAGAATGGGAACAGAACTGCTATTTTTCATCTGTATTCATCTACATTTTTTGTGTCTTAAATATCATGGAACTCACTTACAGTATGTATTGCATTACTGTTGTATTAAATGTTTTTTGAAATATAATCTATTTTTTAATAATGTACTTTGAAACCACAAATGGGGGGAAAAAAATAAAATAACATTGAATGCGAAATCTGCGGTTAGTCCTGTTCAAGCCTTGGTTCTTAGGATCATAGCACAAAATATACAAAACTAAAAATTTCAAACATACGCTGCAAAAAGTGACAACAACTAAATCGTTTCTTAGCGTTCCTGGACAATTGTGAACATTTATTAACATGTATGGACTTTGGTTATCTGCCCTTTATGGATCAATGGTTCCTATGTGTTTGTTATTATTATTATTATTTAATTTCATATGTTCGAACTGTTTGATTCTCTGATCTTTTGTTGGTGAATCGACAACCTTGTAAAGTCCTCTGCTGTTGTGATTTAGGGCTATACACAAGTACATGGAATTGAATTGAAGTAAAAAATATATTGAATTAGGAAAACTATATCTTAATTAGAAAACATTTGTGTGTCTTAAAGGTATATAGGAGGATTTTCAAAAGATTTTTGAAAAAACTCTGGTCTAGTTTTTCGAGCACGTATCACCAGAATGATTGACATTTAGAAGGGCCAATAGTCTTGATCCACCCAGAAGTAGAAAATCCTCCTATATGCCATTGAACAAGATTTGCCAATGAGACAAGCAAGAAAAAGTCTTTATGCAGAAAACTCAAAAGTATTCTCCCCCAAAAATCAGACCAGACTGATTTCCCAATTTGCAAAGCTTGATTCCTTCCATTTCCTTCTTTTTTTGCGGTGTATCCTGTGGTGTGAAGACAAACACAACATACAAATTGCTTGGATCTCAGCACAACAGTGAGGCGTGTGCGGTGTGAACAATCCAATGCTTTTCTGAACCGGAGTCATTACATAAGGTTCAATAAGTGAGAGTGCTCCCAACTCTGGCTGCTGTACAACCATTCACAGACATCCCCTTTAAACGACTTTACATCAACAGAATGATTCCGCTATTGCCACTGCTTACGATTCATTTAACCGGTTTGATTGTATTCAATTTGTCACACAGAGAAATATAGTTTGGGTTAGGATTATTTTACTACTGCAAAAAAATATCTGAGGTTATAATTGCTTGAATCAAAGTGTTTTTATCTTGATTGGAGTACATTCTGACTAAAACCATTAAGTCTTACTTCAATAACTTTATTTTCTCATTCATTTCTTCATTTTTAAAACAAATAATATTTTAAAAGATCATTTTGCTTGTCTAAAAAATGAGGATTTTTTGACTATCACTTTTTCCAGTGTATAATCCTGGGAAACTATCAAATTTCTCCGTTGAGGAAATTGTGACAAATTCAATTCAATCAATTATTTTTGTACAGCTCTAAATCACCAAAGTAGTTATCTCTGAGGAATTTGTGTCGATTCGGCAACACAAATCAGAGAATCAAACCG